GTCAGCCCGTCAGCCCCGGCGGGGGCGACCGCTTCGGGGGTCGCGGCGGCGGGAAGGACGGGGAAACTTTTCGTTCTTGCCGTCGTGGAGGGATAAAATAGCGCCTCGTGTCTCCTGCCGAATAGTTATTTTATCATAATGGTGGCATTTAAACTTGTGAAGGGGGTATGAGCAGCCTTGTCGAATCTGAGGGACTTCTACTTGTGGTTTGGTTTGGGATTTCTCCTTTCTGTGGGTTTCGTGTCCCCCCCCCAATTCGTTGGGGATTGTTTGTTGTAAATGAGTGGGAGGACAGCAGAATAAAATGTTCAGTGTTGTGCGCTATGGTAAAAATCCTCTGTGTTTTTAAAAGTTTAGGGCCTAAACTTGCCAAAGGACTTGAATATATTGGCATCTGTGACTCACGTACAGGAAAGTGCTGGAGGTTCATTTTTATTGGACTGGCTGTAGTTATAAGCAAATTTAAATGCCTTATCAAGATTCAGCTTAAGAGTAGAGTACTGAAAAATTTTGACTGGGTGAAAATAGGGTTAGTACGTTTGGGTTTGAGGAAGATAAGCTCTAGAGCTTTTTTTTGTCTTTTGCCTATAAAAGGATGGAAGTTTCAAACAGATAGTGTGGAGGTAGAAACATGCACGTAAGTGTAAATATTTGAGTGCTGAAAGATGAAAATAGGCCTGCAAACCAGGCAAATCTAATAATCTTGATCGGATCCTTACTTGCCTTAAAGTAACTCTATTAAATTCAATTAGACTTAAGAGGATCTTTCAGGTTTCACAGTTAACTGTCATGAGAAGTCAGATTTGTGGTCATGGGACAGGTGTTTGTTTTACTGGACACTCATATATTCTGTTAAGACATAAGATGTTTTCAATGGTAAAATAAACAAGATGCTTTGGTGTTCTTGTTTTTAGACATGACCTGTCAGACGATGGATTGTGTGACTTCCTTTAAATATTTTTTATTCAGTAGAGAGTATTTCATTGCTGAGAAGTCTGTCTGTTTCTTTCCACACAACACAATCTATTTCATAAGTCTCTCTCTAAAGAGTAAAATAAAAGGTCTGATGATTGTGCACCTTAGTTGCCCGTTTAATTTGATGGGTTATTTCTTCTTTGTCAAGTGACAGCTAACAAGGAAGCCAGTAGTAAGGCCTGAAGTTTTTGGTGCCTGGGACTTGTGCTGTGGTGTATATCCACTTCTGAGGCTGCTTTAGTTGTGGCTACTTTTGATAGTAATTCTTTCTTAACTTGCAAAGAAATATGCCCACTTACTTGTAGGACTTTGGTTGAGGTGTGTCTGAGCAAGCAAGAAACAGGCTTAGGTCGCTCTTAGCATTTTTATGCATTATTGAGGAAACAGTGTCTGCGATCTGTTATTACAGTCACTTGCCCTAAAGGTTAAGAGGTCTTTTGCATGCCATTAGAATTGTGGAATATGAACTTGCAAAAAGAACAGGAAAAGAGCTGTTTCAAACCTTAGAGCAGAGACTTCTGCTTTGAAAAAAGGCTGTGTCCAAGCTTCTTGAAACTTTTGTTTCAGTTGTCTGTGAGCAGCTTGGTGCTTTCCAATGTTGAGTAATTTTTGGCTCTTTGAGGTACGTGGCTATTTTCTCCATTTGTTAAAAATAAATGGGAGAGGGCAACCTGAGATACAGAGGTGGCTCTGTTGAAACAAGCAGGCAGCAGATGACAGAGCCAAAAAGAGAAAGCTGGTCTCTGGACTTCTGTCCTAGTTTTTTGACACAAGTGTTAGAACTCGTAAGTGTGACAAAAGTGATTTCCCCCCCTCCCCTTCCCCCCGAACGGAGTCTCTTGGCTCTGACTTCTAATTGCCTTCAGTTTTTTTTTTTCTGTAGGTACTGTAAACTAGAAAAGTATAAGTCTTGTTTACTGTGCTTCAGTGGATCTGCAGGTACTGTGGGAACTAGAACTTTAAATGGTGGCAATAGCATGCAAAAACTGGTGAGGCTATAAAGTTGTTGGTAAATATGTTTTCTTGGGGAGACTCGCCCTTTGCATCAGAAGCTGCTATCTTAGTGCTCTGGATTTGCGGTGCAAATATGTAACTTTAGCTGTTTGCTTATTCTAACCATTTTAACCCCTACAATACTGATCAAGCCTTACTCAACAAAAGCTTTCAGTAGATTGTGCGTCTGGATGCTCAAGAATCCTGTTAAAGGGGAAGAGTAAGCACAAAACTCAATAATCACTTTTTTCATTGTGGTTCTGTTTGGGTACCTCAATAGTTTACCTAAAACGAAAGCTGTCTAGCAGTTTGTACAGATGCTGAAGTTACTGGATGGAGAAAAATCTGGTAGGGAAGGAAGCTTCCAGCAGCTTCTGCACTAAGTCTGAAAAGAGAGCTGATAACTAAGTTGCTTTGATCTTCACAACGGATCTCTTTCTTTTCTCCAAATGGATCTCTTTCTTTTCTCCAGTCTAGAGAGAGAAGACAGAGGAAAGAGGGAACATTCTCCTGGAGAGGTGAGGCAGAATGTCTGCTTAGGAACTGCATGGATCTCCACAAGTCTTCTAGACTAAATTCCACAGTTTGATTAGAAGTCTGCCCTGGAATTTCTCACTGAGATGACTTTCTGATTGTCTGCAGTATGAGATTGTAGAACTGCCAAAGTTAAGCATTTGCTGCAGCATCCTAGGAATAGTCTACCTGTGATACTGAGCAATGCTTGAAATTAAAGGAAGACCTATTTTACTTGATAGCTCTTCTGTTTCATACAGTGACAGGCAAACTTTGTCCAAGTCTGTCCTTAATTATTTCTGGTAGTGACCCATATTGGAACTTAAATGGTTAATCAGATTATTTTAAGAGAGGCACTGAAGGGTGGAGTCATCCCTGTCAGAAACGTTGCTGCCTATTCCTGAGAACTGTCTAATTATTGAACTTGTTCAGGCTGTGTACCTTCACATTCCCATTTTGTTATGCCAACAGCAGTGTCTCCATTCTAGAGTTTTATTTCTGTTTTTCTCAGGTTTTGTTTTTATTTAACAGCAGTATTCCAATTAATCAAGTTCAATAAACCAGTGTCCTTTACAAAGTATATGTGTTTATCCTGGTCCTATTTTGCGTGTTTTTTGAAATACTATCAAAAGAGTGGCCTTACTTAGAGGAGTGTGTTTATTGATCATGACTTTAAGTCAGTGTCTTTCAATGCAGTCTGTAGTTTCGGTGTGGTACCTTATCAGACTTATGTTGTAGTATTCCAAAGGGTGTGTTAGAATTCATTTTTTTCCTTGTTATTGCAAGAAAAAGGACCGATTTGCACTGCTGTAAAACATCTTGTATTTTTTATATAATCTCTTCAGAGAGAAACTGGATATTAATATCTCTCCACCCATACACAAAACTACTACTGAAATTCTGTGTCCTGAAGTAGCACTTGCAGGTAGAACAGTGTTTGCGCCAGCTCTGTGTGGGAGCAGATTTTGCCCCAAACAGATACTGGGCTCTGATGTGCAGTGATATCCTTCGTACGTTAACAATTCAGTTCACGTGATATGCCTGACTCTAGTATACTCTTGCTTCTCTGCTGGAAAGAAGTACCTTCTGCTTTCACTGAAAAATACCCTGCTGCTAAATCTGAGTTAGAAGCTGCTATGAAAGACTTGAAAAGGTTGCTGTCTACAGATAACTGCAGTTGATGGGAGAAGACTTTATTTTCCCTTCTAAACCAGAATGGATGAAAAGATATTACCTGTGATGCTTTTGACAAGTTGGGTATATACAGAAAGTGAGTATATTAGAAGATGCGACAGTTCTTCAAAGGCAAAAGATTTTAATATTAAATGCCCTCCTAGCTAATGCCTAGACAGCTGATAACCTTCTAAAAAGGTTATTTATTTGTACACAGAGCTAACCACATAATGAATGAGACATTCAGTTCAAACCACAGATTTTTTTTTCTTTTTTTTTTTTTTAAGATCACTAGACATTCTGTAGTGAGGCTGAGACCTTTGTCTTGCAGCATATGGATACCAGGACTAAATAAAAGCGTACACAGCTTTATTTTGATAACGCATGCTTTTCTAACTAGAATTAGATATACTTGGAGTTTTAAAAAAGGCACTCAAATAACTATTATCAAACATAACTTATGCAATAGAAATTGGGAAGTTTAGTCTTGTTTGTTTAGCAAACCAAAATTAAGCAAACAAACAAACAAAACCAAAACCCTGAAAGAGTGAGGATTTTAACTTCTCTTTGTATGCCAAGACTGTAATTGGAAAAAGAATATTTAAAAAAGGAGTAGGAGAAATCTTTTGTGTCTGGAAGACATAGGACTTTACTTTCTGACACCACAGCTTAGTTGTGCTGTGTGTGAAAGGCTGTAACCAGTACTTCAGGATTTTGCAGGTCAGTTGTTCTGTCCCCTCTATAATGTATGAAGTGTTCCTAAAATGTCCTAGAAAGCCACAATGGTGGGCTTCAAATATAAATGCTGGCTTATGTGGAGGTTTTAATGTACAGGAAATTGCACTTATTTCGAATGGGTTACTCATGTGAGTTAATGATATAATAATTTCAGAACTGGGACTGTTGTGGTCCTCCAAAGAGCTCTCCCTGCACTTTGATGATTAAAAGAAGTTTTATAAAAAGAATTATTTCTTTTTACTCAGCATGCTGCCTTATGTTAACTGTTCAGGGGGGTTTTGTAGAAGACTGAAAGATACCTGGTAATTTTTGTATGTTTGTTCGTATTCACTAATTTTAAAGAGACTAGCTGAGCGTAGGGCTACGTTGTAACAGGCATTTGATGGTATGTGGTAGTTGCTTTGATTTGTGTTGCCAACAATATTTACTTTGTGTCAAAATTGGAGTACTGGTAGTTTACCTTACCAGAGACCTTTGCTTTCAAGAAACAAGAGTATCTATTGCTACTCTTGATTTTTTTTTTTTTTTTTTTGGGGGGGGGGGGGGGGGATGCTGTTAAGGTTTTGTGTTTTTCTTTAAAAAAAAGTTTTTTTTTTCCTGTTTTTTTTTTTTTTTTTTTTTTTTGGGGGGGGGGGGGCAGGGAATGTGCTAAGATTTTGGCTTTTCTGTCAAAGCTTTTTATCAATGAAATGAGAAAAATAAGGAAGTAGTGTAGAAAGTGCATTCTATTCTGGAAAATAATGTTGCACTTCCAAATTCATCGTGGCAGTCTGTCTACAACAGAACAGTGTAAAATCAGAAGTTATTAATGGAGTTGATCAAGTGTGTTCCCAAAAAAGAGTAACTTCGTTCTGTCAGACTTGCTCAGACTAGAATGAATCTCCAGGTGTTTTTTCTGTGTTATGCCAGGGAATGTTGTGTATTGATGACATGTTGGTATCCTCAACATGAATTAAAAATTAAATTGCTAGGAAGAACAAAGTATGATTGTGTCCTATGCAGTCCGTAACACTGCTGTTGCTCACAGACCAGCAAAGGCTATGTGCCTTGTGAGCTGGCCAAAACTGAGTTTACTGGATTAAGGACCTGGCTGGCATGTAAAAATTCTTTACTGGGTTATTGTTAATGTGGATCATTTCCCAGTCTGGTTCACTGCGTGGCTGCGCAAACAGCTGTACCATCACAACAGAGGGCACAGGAATGAGCGAGTGCTGGGGAAGACTGCTGAAGCCAGCATTGCCGACAGAGAGCTGCTTGCCAAGTGCTGGCCAAGTCCTCAGCGGCTCTTGGGATCGCTCCTGTGCGGAATACCTGATCTGGCATCAGTCTGCTGGGCCTACGTGAGTGTCTGGTTTGTTACAGTGACAGCTAAATAGAGACAACTGGACCAGTCTAACTGGAAGGAGTTTGTTTGTTTACTTGTAAAATCAAATTCCTTTCAGGAGAATGGAAGATGCAAAGATGGAGACAGTTCTCTAAGTAGTATTATTTGGGGGGGGGGGGGGGAAAGGAAGAGGGAGGGCAAAACTTCTGGATAGGAACAAATGTTTATATAAGCTGATTAACAGAAATAACTACTCTTTTAGTTATGCCTCAGTGTGGACTGTTCAGTACTGTCAGGTTGTTTGCCTTTATGTAGTTTTGAAAAGTTATAAAACCCTGAATTCCTGCCTGAAGTTGATTTTTTTTTCCTTTTTTTTAATTTAGACTATGAATGGTAATATGCTATTTTTAAGAGACATGCTAGTTTATGATTTAGTAAGGATTCCACTGTATTTCTTCAGCTGCAAGCTCTGTAGAAGAAGTGACAATGACATGTCACCAGCTCATAGAAGACAACTAGAAAATTAAATGACTGATTATAGTAAGGAGAAGCTATTTAACATTTAGATCTTATATCAGCCCGCCTGTATTCAGTACAGTTGAAGCTAATATGATCAGAATAGTTCTTAGTTGATCTTTGCTGGAAACAAGCATACCAGTTATGGTATGTGTTACTGATTTCTTGCTTCCAGCTGTAATCTTTAAGTGTGGTATTAAAAATAATGACCTTACGTGTTTTGTTTCTTTTTTGTTATCTCATGCATACAAGACATCCTGCTGTATTAAGTACTGTAGAGCAGTTAGTGCGTGATTTCTTGAAATTTAGGTTGGACTGTGTTCTCCTTTCTCCCAGATCTCTAATTTTTTTAATCCCTCTGAGAGAAAGACTTTAATGCGGTTGCAGTTGCAATAGCTTCTTCAGTGTGTATTCAGAACGACAGAAACATAAACTTTGTCAGAACTTGTATAGTGGCATTAGAAAAAAATTAAAGCGTTCCTGTGCAGCGGTGTTCAAGATACCACAGGCTTCCTTGAATTTTTGAAGTAGGAAATAACTGTGGTAAGATTGCGGTGTTTAACTTATTAATGGTAAACATTGGTTGAACTCCATGGTACTGAAATTTTGTTGGGGGGACAAAGTTCCATCTAAATGGCTGTAATCTGAAGGCCAGTGACTAAGCAGCAGTCGGGGCAGCCATGTATGTGTTGTTGTGAGGGGAGAGCTGGGGAACCTGGCAGGTGGTGGCTGGAGTGCCGCTCGGGTGTAAGAGCAGTAGAGCAGCAGGACCTCTGTTAGCAGTGGGTGAGAACGAAAAATCCTTGTTTCTGCAGATGTGTCTGGAGCACTGCGTTCGCGACCAATCTGAACACTCGAAAGACGTAAATTCCTGAAGGTAAAGGGAATGAAGAGGAGGAAGGGGAAGCATGGATTTTTGGGTGACAGCGGATGTGACATCAGATTTTGCATGCTGAGAAGTAACTGTCTAAGTGATAATGGCAAGAGAAGGTCTGCTAGGAAACTTTTCTTTTTCAAGTCAGGAAGAGATTGACATGTCGCAACTTAATTATAACCACTTCTGTAGTTCTAGCCATGTTAGAAGCCATTTCTTGCTACTCTGGCTTTGTGACGCTAATGTTGATGATACCTTCTCTGAATGTACTTCTCTGTGTAGTTGCAGAAGTAGGTAATTAAATAACTCTTGATGATTAGAACGAGTTGATAATTTGTTTCAAGTACCCAGACTTCCTTCAGGAATTTGGGCTGCTGGTAAAGAAAGTGTATTGGAGAATCAGATTTGCAAAATACCTTTCTCTTTAGTGCATGTGTCTAGCTGCTTATTAGATAAACCATTGCCAGCTTGAGTGCATGTATAATACATGCACTAAAGAAGGGAACCCCTTGTGGCTGAGGGCTCTAAAACAACCATGCTCTGACAACTGTCAAGACAAGAGTACAATCACACAGTGCGTTTTTTGTGTGTGAGGAGCAAGATAGGTTGATCTGACTGCTATGAGGTGCTATGGTAAAAATCTAGATTCTAGTATCAACTGTACCACCTTCTTCCCAATAAGCAAGTCACTTAGTCTTCAGCAATGCTGTGTTCTTTGCTCAATTTTCAGTGTGGATGATCTATAACTTTACTTGTTGCTGTTAATAGTATTGGCAAAGGGAATGTTCCTTAGCTCACTTAACTGGGTTGGCCCTCAACAACAGTTTTCATTTTCAGAGACTACACGCTGCTCTTGAGCAATTGTCACTTGCTATGCTGTTAGCTAAATCATGCTTAGTGTTAAGAGTTGTGTTTGAGCAGCGGTTCATTAACATTTGGTGGATTTTACTTTGGGTCCATACAAAAGTGTTAAGAGTGTCTTTTCTGTGAATTTGTTTGAATGGATAGATGGCATGCCACATTAGGATGGTGACCTGGAGAACAAAATGTTGCTTCACAGCGAAGATCAATAACTGTATTTTTATCAGAAAAGTGCCTTTTTTGCTTTTTTGCTCAAAGTTCGTATTTTCATTCTGTGTAGTTATGTCATACTGGACAACAAGTAGCCTGCTGCCTTTGTTTGGTAAGGGCAGTGGATGAGGTTGTAGCAACAGGTAAGAGAGTCTGATAAACCTATTTTTCCAAGGGTAACGTGCAATTTCACATATCGGAATTGGCAGTTGGAGCATTTTGGGAAGATGAAATAGTTGAAGAATGACTGGCTGTAAAAACTTGACCGAAAGAACTTGACCATAAGAAGTGTAAGAACTGTGATGCCACGTCTGCATTCATGTTTGTGACCATTTGATGTGATGTTTTGTGCCTTTGCTACTTTGATTGTGTGCGTTTCAGCGTCTTCTAAGGTAACGATGTTTGAGCAGTGAGAGATTTAAATGTGAGTACCTGGATAGAGACATGGAAGTAAAACACAGAAGTAACTTAGATTATTTCACAAACTTCGAAATTATTGGCCTCTTGTATGTGCCTATTCGAAAGCAGCATTTGCTGAAGTCTTTTCCAGGATTTTTTTTTCACCTCATTTTCTTAGGTGTATCCAAATTTAAAAAGTTAAAGATCCCTTAATAATTTCAGGCAAATTCTATGGGCCTGGGTTGAACAAATGAATTTGTGCAGATGAAGCTGCAAATTACAAGCTTCTTGGGTTTTGGGATAATTTTACACAAGTGAATTGCTATTGAAATACTGTCCCTGTTCATACTTATTTAGCTGTGCTGTGGGCACCATCTTATGAATATTGGCACTTCCAGTTGCTGCTGAATCTGTATATTGCAAAAAGTGTTCCATAATCTAGGCTTTCAGTTCATTTAAAAACATGCTGTAGTCCATGTGCACTTGTACAGAAAGTGGCTGTAGAAGGTGCAAAGTGGCAGACTATTGCACGGGTGTCTGTGAAAGCCTGATGTGACAGGAGGGGAACTGCTTTGCTCTGCCCAAGAGGATGTCTGTTGTGAAGACACAAATAATGTCCATAACCATTCTGTATGCTCTTAACAGAAACATTTCATTGTGGTTACTTTTGTGGTAGCCTTCTACAATCAGTAGAACTTGTTCGTACAGAGAAACATATTTGTTTTTGTTTGGGATAATTTGTGATTGTAGAATGAATTTTACAGGAACCTATAGAGTTGTGGTTTGTTATGGTCTTTCTGTTCCTTCTCTAACATGGCTGTGTTTAATAACATAAACAATTCTAAAACAAGACACTCTGCTACACTTGCATCATTCCCTGGAGAGTGTGTGGGAGAGGAAAACCATGACCCTGTTAGTTGTGTTGTTTTAATGCACTCCTGAAGGTATTCAGTTTTGCGGTGATCAGCATATTAGCAGAAGCTACGTAGAACAGGATTATGGGATTCTTTCACCTGCCTCCTGTAAAGGTGCAAGATGATTAAGCTCTTGCAATCTCCCAGGGTCTGACCAAAGCATGCCACTTCATCTGGGATTGTCTTCTATAGGCTGTCACTGTCAAGACAGTCATTAAACTTGAGGGTAGAGTTGCAGTAATTTTCTACATTTGAAAGAGAGACATGTATTTTAGTCAGTTGAACTTGGTGCCTTACCAAATGCATGAGTTGTGACAAGTATTCTCACTGAACTGAGCATGTCAGGCTTTGAGTTCAGGAAGAGTGTCAGAAAATTTAAAGCTAATACAAGCTTGCTTTCTGTGGTATAGAAACAGTTAAAGATCTCTGTTTAACTGAATTCTAGTGAATAGAAGGTGTCCTTCCGTTCATATGCATTGAGCAAGTTAATAGTATATTATATACAATCCTAAAGTTCAAAAGGAAAAGCAAGTTGAAGTTTTTCCCTTGTTCAGTAGAGGTGGGTAAAACTCACTTTGCTTTCTTCCCAACCCCAGTATTAAATTTTATTTTTAAACCCCGCCATTGCATACACTTCTCTTATTTTTTAGAACTCTGGATCACTGAACTGTTAGATTCTTAAAGAAATGACAATTCTATCATATGTAAAAGTGCAAATTTTTACTTGAACTTGGAAATTAAATGTTAGAGTATTGTAATATGTTCAATAGCCCATTCAGTCTGTACAATAGAGCAAATTATGATGTCATGATGTTTGAAAATATGAATTTTGGGGGTTTTAGTAACTTGAGGTTTCTGGGAAATAGTTTTATTTGGGTTACTTCCAATGAAGCTTCAAAAAAAGCTGAGTTGAAAGTGACCCTTCATGCTTGCTTTTTTTTTTTAATTATTATAAAGAATGGGATGGGAGGGCAGATGACAGTCTGCTGACTTTTAAAGGTTCTTAGCCTGTAGATTTCATGGCCACTCAAGTACCTAGTGGTAGAAAATGCTTACTTGCATCTTCAGCTGCCTTTGGAAAATTTGGCCCCTAATAATGGAAAGCAGTCTGTCAGTTGTGTGATCACATCTAATACTCTTTTAAGAAGCTGTAAGTATTAGTGTTTTATGGTCATCAAGCTGAACTTTAGCTTTAAGAATATCTTCTCAAGTCCTGATATTTTTGTTAATATTAATTCTGGT